AAGAGCCCTTTTCTCCTCAGCACCACCTGGGGTGACGAGGAAAAATGGTTATAAGCTGATGGAGAATAGGTTTAGGTTAGAGATCAAAAGACAATATTTTACAGTTAGGGTGGCCAAAATCTGGAACCAACTTCCTGGGGAAGTGGTCCTCACCCCTACCTTGGGCAAATTCAAGAGGAGGTTGGAAGATCACCTGTCTGGGGCCTTGTGAACCCAGCATTCATTCCTGACTGTGGCAGGGGATCAGGCTAGATGATCTGTTCAGGTCCCTCCTGACCCTAGCTACTATGAAACTATCACTAAACATATACTTTGGAGCACATGTATTCAGGTACAATCAGTTAAACTTCTTATACAAAAAGGGATTATGCATTCAAATAAATCACAAGAAATATTCTGTCTACCCTACCTAGTATGTTAATGCGATAGATGAATTCTTTAAATATTTCTTTTTCTTGAAGAAATTCGACAGGCATTTCTGGGAAAACTGTACCAAAGTCACCCGAAGGTTTTGGTGACCAGCCTAGCTTCCAGACCTGTTCAGATATAACAACAGGTTTTTATTAAAAACAGTCGGTATCAACATGATAGTTGTAAACACATTTGAGATTTTTTTTTCTTACATATTGATCTCCGTTCCTATTCAAAACAGAAAGGGTACAGTACACAAATTCTTAAGTTTTTTTTCCTACTGTGCTTTAAGTTTTGTTTTTCCTTGCAGTCTGCTGTGGTTATTATGCTTCACACCATAATGATAATGAAATTAAAGCCTCAGGCCCTCAGAATAGCCTGAAAATATGCAGGTAATATTTTTCCTAAAATTTTGTATATTTGGCCTTTTCTAACAGAACAAAATACTTTTTCTGCCAAGTTATACCCTTCTGTTTACTGAAAGATGTCTACCAGAAATGTTAGGAAAATAAGTCATGAAATAATTTCTCTTTTCATAGACTTCTGAACAGGAAGAAACATCACACAACATCTCATAAGCAACATCTTTCTCCTTTTACAGTTAATTGAAATGCAGGAAATTTTAGATCAATTATAAATTTGGACTACCCAAATGGTAATGCCACACAGACCTGATGACAGTCCATGGAGAAAGCAAGAACAAAATCAATTACTTGAAAACATGGAATACTCTTCATCTATTCACTGAACACCTGAGCAGCACATTTTTGATGTTATAAAAAAATATTCAATTCCTAGATGCATCTAGTGACAGGGGAATTAACAAGCAAAGAGGCCCTTCTCTTAGCAGCATTTTAGAGCCAAATTAATTTTAAACTGAATAATACAACATTAGAGAACTCCTTGCTTCACACAGCAACCTAAGAAAACTGTCAGTATTAATTTAGTGGTTTCCCAATGTTAAATATACCCATTGCCCCAAAAGATTTACAATCCAAGTCAAGCATTATTACTCTCCTCCACCCCTACACAAAGGGCACTGACAGATGTGCAAGTCCCCACTCTAATTCATGATACTTTGCAAAAAGTACCATGAGTTAGAGCAACCCAACAGGCAAACACCTGGGGGGAGGGGGCAGAAGTTAAAAAAGGGCAGACAAGTAGAGAATCTTGACAGCAGAAAAAAGGGACTTCCCCAAAAATCACTTTGTAAATCAGAACGCCAAACAGCTTTACACACACATTCAAAATCTTTTGGCAATACTGCTTCACATTTTTAATCCAAAGATCTTTAAATTGTTGCAAAATATTAGTGAAATCCATTTCATGGCTCCAGAAGGTAAACAAAAAATGGGCCAAGCATCTAAGAGTCAGGGCGAGGCAGAAGCAAAGAAAATCCAAGCCTATACCTACACAATGCAATACCATAAAGATACCCAAGTTAGCTAAAATACCAGAGGCAACGCAGCCATGTTACTGCACCTCTCTCCTGCACTATTGCCCTTGCTTGTTCGCAGCTAGTGCAGTGAGGTGCAGAGACAGATGTGCACTACTCATCCTTCCTCCACCCCGCCCTTTTTTCTTTCTTTAACTACACAGAAGATTTACACATTAGATATTTTCAGTTTTGCCAGGCAATAGTTAAGACCAATAGGACAAGCAAACCTTATGGTTAGGATTGAAGACTTAGAAAAGTAAAATGTTGTTTTAACACCACCACATTTAGTTTACACAAAAATGATCAATAGCTCTCATGCTATGGAAATAAAGCAAGGGGCACATACCAAAGGAGGTACTCTTGTGTAGCTGTTCACTAGAGGTAGTCTGGCCAAGCTGATGATGATGTTCTTAAGGACAGGAGTGAGGAATGCTGGGATACTGCTGTTTCTCATGTGTCCCAATGCTAGAACAGTTTGCAAACACTCTACCAGTTCAGCCACCATTTCACAAGCCTTTGTAACATGCTTCATTTCTTAGTAGGGAAAAACAGAGGAAGTTCAATGTAAAGCATCACAAACATGCACAAAATGTATACAGGGACACAAACGTGCCAATAAGAACAAAGGGTCTCAAAAGGTACTGAAGCTGAATCATGGCAAGAAGTAGCCACCTGCCTATCTGGACTCATACACAGTGGAATGGAGGGAAAAAATGGTACTGAAAGGCTGAAATGGGTGCCTTTCAGCTAAAGCATGAATAGTTTTAAAACTAGCCATGCAGTGCAATGAAACAGATTCCAAGAAACTTCAGTTTTATCTGTATGTTGTTAATTATACCTGCTCAGAGCAAGCATAAGTGATGCCAGGAGATGAAGAACAGTTTGCACAGTGTTTAAACTTACTAAATCAAGTTTGATACTGCATCACTTTTAAAAACAATGAACATTTTCATATGAATTTTGGATTGCGGACAGGACCCAGCTAAGGCCTTCTTGATTTAAACTGGTAATACAGAGATAAGTATGGCATTTTCAAAAGGTAAAACTACAGGAAAGCTTAAAGTTCATTGCTGACTTACTCTGGTCATTGGAATCAACTTCATCTTCACCGACTATTTTTGAAGTATTCTTTCTCCTTTCTGGACTAAGCAGCTGATCTCCAGGTTTAACTGCAACTAAATCAGATAAATGCAGGTAAAAAAAAAAATCAATATTCCCTCATTTGGAATCCTCTCCTTCCCCAAGCTTCCAAAAATTGGCAAGCAATTATGGTTGCAAAATTCAAAGGCAAATGCAAAATAGCGGGAGATGCCCCATGGTAGAAACCCATTTGGCAAATTAAAAAAAAGTCAGGAAAGTTTTTGTCCAGCTGTGGCATCTGAACAGTGCTATTTGCCAATTTATTTTGCAGCCTTTCCATGGCTATTCAAATTTAACTCACCTGCTTCTATTAGAAATCTTACACAATTAATTAGAGAGCAGGCATGTGTCACATGCACTGCAGAAGCCAGTGAGTTCCAGAGAGCAGGTTGCTGTAAAGTCAGGCAACAGCAATCCAAAACAGCTTGAATATCTATACTTAGAGGGACCTGTTCATGTATTAAATGCCACGACAGTGCCTGTACAAGAAAAAAAATGTCCATTAATACTGAACTGTTCTAACATGCAAAAATAAGAGCAGACTTAATTGATCCTCAGGGACATATAAATGTTCATCAACTAAGTTTATAAATAATTTTGCTTACTGTAGTACTGTACTGTTCCAAAAAAACTACTGTTACAAAGCTAAGCTGTAAGTATTATATTAGTGCAAAATATCACGTTTATTCACCTTCCTAACAAGCTGCAATGTCTCTTTCAAAATCGCCAAGATATTCCTTGCCCTCTGCATGCCTTCTCTCCCCTGTGCCAGTGAAAATGCCTCCAACAGAATCCATCTTCCTCAGCTCTTACTCCCTCCATAACTCCAATATATAGCTCATTCCTATTTTCTGTATTAGTTCATTCAATAATTACTCTGTTGGGAAACTACAGATTACAACTTCTACTGAATCTTCACACGTTATCTGCTATAAATATTCTGCCACATATTAAGGTCTTTATCTTACCTCTAGTGACATTACAACAAACTTCAATATATCACTTTCTTTGTCAGGTGGAATACGAAGACATGCTGGTAGTTTAGAGAGTAACAGCAAATACTGAGCCAGTGCACGACAGAGTGTCATCACAGACTGATACACCAACGCATCGCCTAGACAAAAAAGAACTCACATAAAATCTTGGTGCCTGAAATAATCAAACACCTGCTTTTACTGATAAAAGTTAGTTTTACCACCAATTATCTAATTTCAAGAAAGAACTGACTTATTGGGACAACACTGCTATGTCTCACGATAGAGAGAACAACAAAAGACCATTACTTCTATTACCAAAGATAACACTCAGTTTGTTCCAGTAGGCTGAAGTCTCAATTGGCTGCAATGGTTGAAAAACTTGATGGTTGGCAGGAAGTTTTTGTACACTGGTAGACACATGATCTAGAGTCACCCGACGAGCAGTTTCAAAGAGACTGGTCTTCTGGTCTCCTGACATTTCATTCATGCCAAGGCTTAAACAGGGACACAACAAGCTTAAGTTGAATTCCTGAAAGCACAAACAACAAATAAAAGACTTGGAAAAAATACACTTTTTAACTATGAAAGAAAAGAAAAAAGTTAAAAGAGTTTAGTTAATACTACGCAAATTTGTATAGGAAAAAATAAGCCACAGATGGATTATGATACAGCAACAGAGATACCAAAATCAAAGCCATGATCCATTTTGAAGTTAGCTAGGGTTCAGCTTTTTATTTTAAGTGGAAAAAAAAAAAAAAAAACCCAACAAGTAGACCCGTCCCAATTTTTTAGCACTGAAACAAAACAATTTCCTGAGCAATGTAATTGGTTGGAACGGTGCAGCTAATCACTGACACACGCTATGGGTTCTACTGTAATATTTCCGTGTTAAATGTGTTTGTATGCTGTGTGCCTCCGTTTCCCTGATTAGCTTGTGCACTGGACTAGGAATGAAGGGATAATAGAGGCCTGCTAAGTCCCAGAGCTGCCTACAAGTGGGAGAAAATAAAATGGACCTCAGGCATCAGAAAGCGTTGCTGACACTTCAGCTAAGGTGGGACTGCTCCCAGGAGGCTTCAGGGAAGCTGAAGTGCATGACAAATGGAGGGAGCAGCCTGATCAAGCAGAGCACTGGCTGGTGGGGGCAGTCTGAAGACACAAACCAGCTGAGCAGCTTTTGGGACTTCTGGCTGTGCAGACTGGAAAGAGAACAGCTGAGCAACTCCGGGTGCTCAGGCCTGTGGAGGCTGGATTGAGGAGTGAGAGACTGCTTCAGTTTTGGAGGGGGCAGAGAACATCTGCCTAAGTGGCCTCTTCCCTAATAAACTCTTTTACTGAAGAGGAGCTATATGCTTTGCTGCTTGAAACTTCAGGAAACACTTCTCCCTATCAAGAGGTAAAGTCCCTCTCTTGAGACTTGAAGAAAGCTCCCTTACCAGGGCCATGGAAAACCAGGGAGGGTAAGGGACTGGAAGGCCAGGGTCTCAGAGACGGAAGGAGCAATGGATCCCACCCTGCTCTAGAAGCCACATCCAGGCTGTCTCCAAGCGCCCCCTAAAAGCTAGACAAGATCATAGAGATCACAAGCAAGCACTCCTTTTGGGAGGGAAGGGGGAACAGACTCTGTGACAATATACAGTGGTTCTTCCTCCCCCACTTTATTTTTTAAAGGCTCCAGGCACCCCTGTATAATTTCCTGAAATCAGGTGCCACTTACATTTATTAAAATGCTCATTTTGCAGGAGGTCCAGGCAGTGGAAAAGCACCTTAACCTACCCTTATATCCACTTATCTTCTCACACGTGAAGCCCAAGTCTGCCCTTATCCATTTACCTCACACCTCCTGTTGCACCCTTCAAAGGGTCTCATGACATCCCAGGGTGCCCTGGCACCCTGGTGGAATATCACTGGTTAACAGGTTAAGCCCACATAAAACTCATCTGAGATGTCAAGACCTGATCCTTCATAGTGCTTTGCATTAATTTAGCATGGCTTCAATTGATTTAAAGTCAGATCCAAAAGGCTGAAGCTAAGCACCCAGAAAACAAGCAACTAGTAACCAGGAGGTTGGGCTTTAAGTGCCCTGCCTGGCATCCCACCAGAACTTGTGGTGGAGGAAAATATCAAACCCAGTTCTCCAAAAGAACATTCAGTTCTTGTCCAACCAGTCCCACGTGCCCACCCCAACATCTTTTTCTCACACTTTCCCCTGTTTTCTCAGTTTTTGTCTCAGTTCTTTTGCCCTGTGTCAGTGGCTTGTGACTTGGCTGTAGAAAGCACCTGCAGCTTTCTGACCAGTGCCTCTAGTTGCCAACTTTAAAAGCCTTAACTAAGACCATTTCAAACAATACTATCAGCCACACGTTGCCATCTTCTCTCAGAAGAACGTTACTGCTGTCCCCCATCGCATCTAAATTCCCGATTCCAAAGCATGGAGGTACTTAAAGCTTCTTAAATGGAACAAGAAAGTCATTGATTTCTTTTTAAACGTGGCCAGTACAACACTTCTCCTCTAACCTCTTTTCAGAAACTACTGAACTATTTTTGTTGAAAACTTTCCAAAAAATTGTCTTGCGGAGATGCCCAACGATGGATGTTTCAGCCCAATGTAACTGAAGTTTAACAAAGGGACCTCAGTGACTGATGTGTCATTCAACCTCAAAAAGGTGCAGTTTGTTGCATTTCCCATAAACTGTACACAATAAGCAGGAGGCCAGATGGTTTTGCAGTTAAAAGCATAGGAAACCCAATTTTGGATAAGCAACTCACACGGTTGGCCTCCATTTCTCATTTAGAATATGGAGGTTCTTTCCATCTTCCTGTCTGGAGTACAGGAAGACTTGTAAACAATTACAACTTAAGACACTGGAAATGCCTATCATTTTCATCGTTTGCCATTCCACAATACCTTGAAGATTTCTTTCTTCATGATCAATCAAATGTTAAAAAATAATTTGAAAACGACAAGGCACAATTAACATATACATCTTAATAAAGCTGCAGTATTTAATACTTGCTTTTCCTTAAAATACACAAAAAGTTAAAGCACCCTTAAATAGGTTTTTCCCATTATAATTTTTACTTATCAAGTGCACCAAGAAGGGTTTGACCTTCACTGGACCTTGGAAAGCCAATCCTCTTACTGACTGCACGTTAATCAAGTTTGTAAAAGTTTCACTCGTTTTACTTTGGGGGGGTGTTTTTTGGGAGGGTTGTCTTTTTTGGGTTGAATCAATAGATTTTTCCCCCCCCATTATTTTTACTTTTTATATCTATGCCGGCAGAGAAGAGAGGGGGAGAGAAACCCAGCAGTAAAAAGCACCAGTATTTAGGGATATGGTGACCTTTTAATTGGAGGAAAAGTCTCGGCTCTATGTAAACATTCCATTAGTTACAGAAACCCAAAATAAGCAGCACTATACTAGAGGTCAGACAGTAAAACTTACAGGTCTATTGTAGGCACCCAAATTAAACTGAAGAGGTGAAATAGCCATTTAAAATCTTTTCATTTAAAAACTGAATTTGTTTTTGGCAGCATAAATACAGACACTGCTTAACACGGGGTTTTAACAAGGTGTCGTCTTAGGTTCTTCATTTCTCATTGCCAAAGTTACCTTAGTGGTCATGAAGGAGTTCAGTTCAGGTTGAGGAATTCTGTTCACCAGTTCCGCACCTTCCAGCAGTGCAGAGTCCGACCTGACACAGCATTGTGACCTGACCAGCGACACATACCAGTCCTTCAAAGAAAAAAACAAAACATGTAACTGTGAAACTGCTTACTTGCAGACAATGCAAAATAGTTTGATTTTGTCATATCTATCAACTGATGTTCTCAAAGATGGTCTATCTATCTGCCAATCCAGAATTACTATGTTAGCCATGCTAGATTACATCTGTAACAAACATTAAGAAGCTATTAGTTCTTCTTAGGAATAGCTACATACAACAAGAATGTCCAACTGGTGGCTCAGAGGTCATACAAGTCCTATAAACGGTGAACTTATGGCTGCAGACCTGGGCATAACTCCCCACGTTGCTCCTCCTGCTGCTAGGGCTGGGATCTCCAGGCATCTACTCCCTCCTCCAGCTTCCTCTTTCTGCTGCTGCCCCTGCCGGTGAGAAACCACAGTCCTTGGAGCCCAGGGGAACATGCAGAAGAGAAGTCCAGGAGGCCAACAGCTCAGAGTCCCCAGATGTACAGAAGTTAAGCAGCCATGATTTACAAGACAAACCTGATCTATTCTCTATTATTCATTCCTTTGCCAATGTAGAACTGCTAGAAAACTGAAAAGGAGGAACCAAAGATAGGGTTAAGAAATACTCCTTGCACACTGGGACCACACTGGTGACGGAGGACTGGAAGAGGGCCAACGTGGTTCCCATCTTCAAAAAGGGGAGGAAAGAGAACCCGGGGAACTGCAGGCCAGTCAGTCTTACCTCAATCCTGGGCAAGCTGTTTGAGAAAATTATTCTGGCACACATCCAGGAGGGGCCAGCAGGGGACTGCATGCTCAGGGGCAACCAGCACGGGTTCATCAGCGGCAGGTCCTGTCAGACCAACCTCGTGGCCTTTTACAACCAGGTCACTAAATCATTGGATGCAGGGGTGGCAGTGGATATAGTTTTCCTAGACTTCAGGAAGGCTTTTGACACTGTCTCTCACCCCATTCTCATTAGGAAGCTGGGGGACTGTGGCGTAGACACCCATACAGTCCAATGGGTCGCCAACTGGTTAGAGAGTCGCACCCAGAGGGTGGTAGTGGATGGGTCCTTCTCGACCTGGAAGGAC